TGCTTTTCTTGTTTTCATATCATGTTTTTGTTGTTTTTATATGCCTCTGTTGCTGTTATATCCTTTTGTTACTGTTTATTAATAAATTTACATATTATTTTCATATACATTTTACTAATTTCCTTTCATCTCTCACACTTCTATTATAGAGAAAGGGCAAATAGCAATATTAAAATATTTCTGCTAATTAATTCCCTTTTAATGTGCACAAATTTCATGTACCGGGCTACTAGTTAATTAATATGGAATTAACTATTTGGCTCTACCTTAGGTCTGTGGCAGGTCAGTTTTAATAGTCTCCACATCTTCTTTTAATTTTCTTGAGAAAAAGAAACAAAAACAATATACTTGGACTGAGAAATGTAGGACGGAGTCACAAACCAGGAGCCAGAAATTAAGTACCAAGATCAAGGTCACCTACTTTCTAGATCTATGACCTTGGTCAGGTCACTTAAATGCCCTGAGTAGCCTGCACACCTGTCAACAGGTAGTAACAACATTTGTGGGTTCACCTGGGGAGGTTGTTTTGAGGTCATAGGACTTTATAAAAGTGCTTTGTGAAAGGAAGCTGCTACTGTCACCAGGTGGGACATTGGAATTTGGCATCTGGACGCGTGAAAAGTATAGGCAGTCCCCCAGGGCAGAAATGAAATAGGTTCGGTCAGCAGAAATACCAAGGTTTCTCTAATGTTTCCCAGACTTCAGTCCACCTGAATGATTTTTGCCATCAGTGCTTACATGATTTTAAAAATTGATCCACTTTTTCCAAATGAATCTATCTAACAAAGGAATCTTATAGCACTGTGGTAGGTTGAAAAGCAGTGCCCTTTGCTGCCAATCCCCGGTAAACAAAAGTGAACGGGATGAAAGCAAAGCCGGTGTTGTTACATTTCAGATCCCGCTGCCTCTGGGAGGCTGTGACCCAGAAGCTCTCCTTTGTTGTGAGGGCCGGGGAGGAGTGGGAAAGTTGCTACAGTTGTTCTGACCCAGATCTGAGGTCTCTTCCTAGTGCGTGTGGAGGAGTCAGAGCAGCCTGCATGCACAGAATTGGTTTGGTGTGACTCACCGCGGCGTCCTGTGCCACATAAGATTGCCTCCCATCACCCCTGTCCCAAAACTTCATATGGGACAGTGCTCAAGTCCCATACTTTGGGAGGCACATCAGATGATTGAAGAGATGCCGACTGTCCCACTGTCTGGAGGATCATGGCCACCGTGCTCCTGGGAGGACTAGGTGGTTAGCCCTGACGTCTGGGCTTTGCCAGGATAAGGAAAACCCAAGTTCCAGCACAGAGCTCTGGTTGGAGGGCTAGTGTCCAGCATCAGAGCCTCTCATTGCCACCGCCTCCTCCCTCTTCTGTCCTGTCCTCTGAGACAGGGTGTCTCCTGGGTGACAGCCCCGGTCAGTCTAGGCCGTGTGCTGTGTTGAATGGTAGATTCTGGGACCTTAGAGAAAAGTCATTGGGGACTCAAATCCATGATGTAACAACTTTTTCATAGTTTCAGTTCATCCTCTCTTGTATATCCATTTGGTAAGGAAATCTCTACCGTCCCTCTCCAAATTCCTGTGTTTATAAACTTCAGTTCAGACCTGCAATTATTTTTGTTTCAGACCCCAAACGTCCTTTTAGATGATGCTCATAGAAGCCCCAGTCCTTGGTCCTGTTGGTGGTTCTTCACAGCCCGCTTGTGTGGTTGTGAGTTTGGGGGTTGCAGTTTGCTCTGGAGGGAGGTTTTTGGCAGTACGGCCGGCCCCTCAAAAGCCAAGTTACCTTCCCTTCAGGTCTCTGCTTTAGTGCCCACGGTGGGAGATGCAACCCTAGGCCTTGGTTGTCAGTTTAGGTTCCAGGCTTCAGAATGAGAGGGGCTCTCTTAGCGAAGTGACCTCTCTCTTCCCATTTTCATCTCGAGCCTGAGTTCATGCATCCTGTAGGACCTTGCTGAAAGCCACACAGAAAGGCCAGCTCGCCCACCTTCCTGCCCTTCCACCCACCCCAGCCCTAAGGCAACATGGGAGTTCATCCTGAGATGCAGCAGTGAGCATAAGACCAGCGCCCAGCGCCATGCTGTTGAATAGCGGGCTCCCCACCACTCCTCTGGGGTAATTGGGTTCTCATTGCCCCACCTCCACCCTCACTACTTCCCGATGTAGTCAGTCGGCACATGGTCGATTCTATTTCTTGTGACATCCTCTTCTGGTTGCCAAGTCTTTCTTTCATCCTGTTCTGTGTGCCATGGATTACAGCATCCTGATGGGACAGAGCATCCAGGTGCAGACGCCGCCTTTTGCGACAGGCGGGATCTTTCTGACTGTGAGCAGTGCCTCTTCATCAGTGGTCCTGCGACTGGATCTTTGAAATCTGCCATGACTCTGGTGGATACTGCCAAATCCAACAGTTACTCAGTGTTTAATTAGGTCTACATCCAGTGTGTGTATTTGTCACTGTTCAAGTCAATCTGCTTCTCTGTGACATAAGCCAATTATATAAACCTTAATATCCTCAGTGGCACTGAAGCTTAGGAGGTGAATGAAGATGGTAGATGAGAAGGATGGAGGTAAACTCAAGGAAGCTTTGCTGAATTAAAAATGTGGATTGGCCCTGGCTGAGGTGGCTCATTGGTAGGCGCATCGTCCTGTACAGCGAAAGGTAGCAGGTTCGATTCCCAGTCAGGGCACATGCCTAGGTTGTGGGTTTGATCCCCAGAGGCCCAGTCGAGGTGCATGCGGGAGGTAGGCGATAAGTGTCTGTCTGTCTCTCTCTCTCTCTCTCTCTCTCTCTCTCTCTCTCCCTCTCTCCCTCTCCCTCTCTCCCTCGTTGGGTGAGGATTTTTTTAAATGTG